CGTGTCTAAATATGGGATGTGATGTCATATACTTAGACAAAGATTGTGACGTTGCCCTCGCGTGGGGATGACGCGAGGGAAGTAATAAAAGCCCTGTTTAGTTAACTTGGGGAGAGGTGTGTGAAAACTGTCCGTTTTACTACTACTGCATTCAACATCATGGACGAAGCTCCTCTACATTTAGAACGTACCATGGTTTATTTCTATTAACTAAGTCGAACGCCTTACTGAAATCCACAAAGGGTACATGTTTTTCGTCAGATCATATATTTTCGGACATCATACGGTTTCGGACGGCCGTGTTTATCGCGATTACTCGCACTATAACAAGGGGCATTGCTTCACACAGACATTGTAAAAATTCAGATGGTGGCTTGTTTTTAAGATAAAGTTATCTTTTGCAAATGAGTGAGATGTTTTACAGTTGTCCACGTGATTAGCGAGAAAACTACGAATGTTTCTTAAGCGTCCGAAAACCCACAACACGGGGATACGCTGTTTACTTGTTAAAAGAGTCCCATCTGTGTGCACCTCAAGTCTGCCATGTATAGGATATACAGGTTTAACACGTAGCATAAATCCAGTAGCTTTAAACCTTATTGTGACATAAACTGGTACTTTTTCTTCCTCTATGAAAATTCCTCTGTGTAGTGGAAAGGTTTATTAGACCTTTAGCAATTCCTATGCGCGCGTTCATGTCGCCACGTTCACATCATTATATAAATACATACAAGTACAAAAATACAAAGTGGTGATCTGTTAGCCACTATTCCAGTTGGTAAATACCTAATGGGTTATCGGATGCAGTATACCAAGATGAGTACCACGGTGGTGGAATATAGTGATGTTAATAGTCTGTCCTTCTCGTAAAACAAAGCTTTGGAGGGTTAAGTGCTACCATGTGATCAACATAAATTGGTCTGTATGCAAAACAACTGACAACTGCTTTACAAACAAAAACACTCACCACCTGACGATCTACCAAAGTCGGCAAATGTGTGTGTTATTGCAAACTATGTCAAAATCAGTGTTCGGGGATCATTTGGTACCTAAATGTCTTCAATAAACAGATGACATCGAATGTACGATATACTCCAGGAAGTCAGTGTCGCCTACCTAAGAACAAAGCCCCTTGGTATTTTAGGAAATGATGTTAAATGTCGATTTGTAGCTTGGATACAACGCACTTGCACATACAATTACTGTAGAATTACATGCATTTCTGGGCCTTGACCACCCTTATCTCGACGGTATGTACTGGGGTGAAGCGCTCCTTAAATCTTGGTAGCATGCATGGACGAGCATGATCAGACGTCACGGATGTCATCAGATCTGCTGTTTTCGAAGAAAAGTTGCTTTACCCCGTGTATCCAAACACCGGACTTTGGTGAAAGGCTGTTTATAATTACAGTTGTAGCTGCTGATACTCATCGGTGGTTTGGTTTCTGTTCTGATTCACAGGAAGAGTCGTTAACTTTGGTTGGTTGGTTTGTTGTTTAACGCCGCGCTCAGCAATATTCCAGCTATATGACGGCGGTCTGTGTAAATAATCGAGTCTGGACCAGACAATCCAGTGGTTAATATCATGAGCATCGATCCACGCAATTGGGATCGATGACATGCATCAACCAAGTCAGCAAGCCTGACCACCCTATCCCGTTAGTATTGTCATAGCGACTGATTTATGACTACCATTGTCGGCAGTACATTTGACTTCAAGGGCAATTTACCCTGTAGCCATGTCTCCATAACTTAATTGTCATTACGTTTTAGGCGCTAATCCCCGTTGTTAATCCTCACCAACATTTCATTGTATTTTGACTGTCAGTCAGCCTGGACTACCATATCACTTCCCTTTAACTGTTGCTTTTTATAGTATGGCATTTATTGCCCTAATTGATCATCCCATGAACTGTGCTTGTTAATCACGCCCATATGTCCAAAGCAACGTCGTTGTCTCTTTGTCTGTCCATTGTTGTTCATTACTATATATGTGCTACCATTACACAGTTACTACGGTGTTAGTCAGGCTTGGTATTCCGAGTGCTGGCATAGGGACGACCTCGAGCAGGATATGCTGCTCGTAGGAAACGCCCTGAGGTGAGCTGGAGCTCCGCTCACCTCTTGTACGCCTGAGCTGGAAAGTCCGCTCATTGCTGTGTTTGTGTTGTCAGAGCAGGTATTCCGCTCATTGTGCAATTGTTGTTTATTGTTTACATGTTGTGCATAAAGCGTTCCGGGACAGTGATGTCGATTTTGTCCTTTATTCCCCCAAGAGCTAATTCCCCGTCAACATGCACGTTGACAGTATAGTCGCCTTTTACGACAAGCATAGTCACCTTTTACGGCAAGCATGTAGAGTCGTTAACTGATCATGTATGTAGTATGCAAGCAGATCTTTATTTCTCATTTCTGATATTTATAGCCTCTGTTTTGTTAAATTGCTTGAAATACCTATATTTCTTTTCGCAGAGTTTCACGGTTCGTAAGGGCTTTGATTTCGTCTTCCGTATAACTAACTTAGCCATCATGGGTGGTGGTACCCTCTGGTCTTAGTCCATACGATGCTTCCTCATAATATCCTCACGTCTCCATGCCAACTAAGAACAGAAACTAATAAGTTCTTACGACCTGTGAAGATCCGGGGTAGAATAGGTCTTCATAAAAAGCGACTGTGCTTGTCGTAAGAGGCGACCAACGGGATCGGGTGGTCAGACTCGCTGACTTTGTTGATGCATGTCATCGTATCCCAATTGTTTGCATGGATCGATGCTCATGATGTCAATCACTGGATGGTCTGGTCCATACTTGATTATTTACAGACAGCCGTCATATAGCTGGAATATTGTTGAGTTAAAGCGTCCCGTTATGGGATAATACACGACTCTTCAGTCAGAGGAGTTATTTCATGACGGGGCTCGGAAAATACATCACAGAATATCAGCACCTATGCCCTACTTCCTTTGTGTATGATCGTGTGCTTTATATAAATCAGAGACTAATATATAGAGGTTATCACGCGAGTGTGTTTGGGGATGGTAAATATCCTGTATTAGGAATAAATATTGTATTTAGCGAGCCTTAGCGAGCTAAATACATAGTGTTTATTCCTAATACAGGATATTTACCATCCCCAAACACACAAGCGTGATAACCTCTTTATCATATAATGTCATTCTTTAATTTTGTGCTTGAAAATCGCCTGTCCTCCCTCACAAACATTACCTAAACATTGCGAATTTTCCTGGAATGCGCGCATTAATATTTATTACATCACAGGGTAAGTGATGTGTCAGTCGGACAGTGACAGTGGCGAAGCAAAATATACGCATAACAAACAAACAAAAGTACTTGCATTTCGCGGCAATCCATCGGTCCGTCCGCTGGAGTAACTGCCCTTTGTCAAAGGGAAGCTACTCTAACCCTAGTCTATCAAGCTCCTCACAGCGATAGTAAGTTCCCGGAGCTCACTATACTACCGAGAGTGTAACGAAGGTGTCACGCGCTGGGAAGGAGCTTGCCTAGTCTATGAGACGTCATGGCCCACTCTCCTACCCAGAGTTCCATGCGGCCGGCAGCCAGCTAGCATAGTACCTCTGCCACAGGCCAGCGCCATGTGACGATTCGTCACATCTTTCACAGTCCATTCAAGATATTGCATATGCTTTTCATCCGTTTCATGTTTGACAAGTCTACACATTTTCATAAACAAATGTCAAAGAATGGTTAACTTTCATTGAGAAAGTATGCAAATACGTAAAAATCTACTTGTTTTTGCGTAGTTATCCTTTGTTTACATTGGTTGTACGGCTCCACGTGCTGTCATCGAAGCCCAACGGAGAGCTAGCGACACGGTCACTTTGACGCATAAATATATATTGTCATGCAACTCACTGTCGCAGTTGTAGTAGCATATCTATATAGTTATGCAAAACAATATGTAAAGCGCCCCCAAATACTTGCATTAGTCCGTTCTATACTGATTTCTGAAAAAGCGCGTTTGTTTACAAACAAGAGAAAAGTCCGGTCACATGATATGCAAATTAGCCTGTGGCAGTGGTGTTATGCTGAGTCACCACTGCGACGGAGTGTGGTCATGGCCACGATCAGACGTTGTTGACAGTCTGCCTGTCCTGTCAAAACGTTAGAAGTGCAATCAGATGTACACACAGCGACAAAACGAAACAAGGTTACAATTCAAATGTATTTCGGCCAAATCCAACTATTTTAATTTGTGGAAAAGGTTTCAAGCCGCAGAGGTCTACAAGCACAGATATGGCTACTGATCCCGCTTGGCTAGGGCTCGCAAAATTGTTTCCAAATTTATATCTCCAAAGTTGCAAAAACTTATAAAATGCCTTAGCGACGTCACAGTTAGACACTGATTTAGACTGTTCTTTTGCTTGTGATAGCAATTATCTCTGTAGTTTATCCAGATTCCCGATGGTTAATTCTGACTCAATTTCCGACACTCTCCTACCCAGAGTTCCATGCGGCCGGCAGCCAGCTAGCATAGTACTGCGACGGAGTGTGAATTTCCGAATGACAAGGGCGACGCCATGTTTGTTTATAAACACAAAAAGTAGTCCCTACTTGACCTTTGATATTTGCATCTCTATCCGCATATGACCCAAACGGATATCGTTTTTATCCGTTGGCTTTATCCTGCCGAGAAACCTACCCATTATATGATAAATATATGTACGTCTCCACGCGAATGCAAAAATAAACTCATGCACATATCATGAATGATGGTGTTATCAGGAATCTCGCGCTTGACGAAATATTTCCACCCTTCATCATGGACTTGGAGATACATGTTTTATGTTGGCATAAAACGAATATGCAAATGTGAAAATAGTATTGTGAATACGTTTTAAAAATGTGGAACAATACATATAGTGAATGGTGAGATTCGAACTCATTCACACAACCATGGAGTTTTGTATCGAGCAAATATTATGTGCAGCGCATCAGTAGCGTCCCTTGAAAGCACAATAGAGGGCGCTAGAAATTCAAGTTAGTGAATATACTTCCTGTCTCCGAAAGTCCGAGTTGACGTGTTCTGTTGACTTGCAAATCGCGAGAAGGTCCGGGATAATTTCGTATTGATTTAAGTATGTAATAGCGGCCTGGTTCAATATTTACTCGAATCACCTCAATGCCGGTGGATAATAACGGGTTCAAGTCATATACACTTTCCCATTTTATCATCTTGGCCTCTTCCAGTTTGGCCTGTCAGATTGCGTGTGGGTCTTGCCTTATCCGTTACGCAAAGTGTGTTTTCTAATTGGCGTCACATTTAAGGCGTTGGTGTCGTGGTAAGACGGTCTAGCAGAACAACTGTCCATATGTTGAATATCTTAAGGACCGTTGGAAGATGCCTGTATGGGAATGTGTATGTGTGGTGTATGGTGACACTGCTACTAGCAGATTTGGGTTGGGCGCTGGATAACGTCTATATTCATCATATAGCTGTCAACATAGAAGGGGGGCACGAGGCCGCTGACAGAGTAGCAAGATCAACAGGACTGATTAATAAAGGGCAGGTAAGTTGAAAACTTTCATTTATTAAATAAGTAATTTTAACTAAAGACGTCCGTTTAAATGGCTTTTTTGTATGTTGTATTCATGTTTACAGAGTTTAGACCATATCCTGGTTCACAGTATTAGTTCTTTTTTGACAGTAGGCCTATAGATACTACAATGAAACTCCGTACACACAGCACAAGTACAATTCAAAACATTTTAATTTTGACTTGCCTCACTGAATTAATATACAAATGATATGAAATTGTAAAACTCATAAACCTGTGTTCTTCTTTTTGGCTATTCCAAATTTAAAAGAAGGTCGATATTGAGCAGGAATTATTCAACAATAATGTTTTTTCCTATGAATGTTTTTTTTGGTTATATTTGATTGTTTATCTATATTTCAGAATAAAATTTTGGAAACATAAATGATGAAAACAATTCATGTTTGGTGTGTGCATTGAAAACAACAGAATGTCAAATTCACCTTACACTGTGTTGTATATCCCCACGTACTGTGTTTTTGAGCCCCTTAGAAGTACCGTATTCGATGTAATAAGCGCATTGCTCTAATAAGTGCCCGGGGCAGTCGGGTAGCCTAGTACATATAGTAGTTAAAGCATTCGCTCGTCACGCTGAAGACCTGGGTTTCGATTCCCAACATCGGTACAATGTGTGAAGCCCATTTCTGGTGTCCCCTGCCGTGATATTGCTGGAATATTGCTAAAAGCGGTGTAAAACCTCACTCACTTAATCATACAGGCACCACCCTTTTTTGACCAGTTCACCTGTACATAGAATAGATGTATTGGTAATAGCAGTGTAACTGTTTCAAAAATGGAAGTCCCTTGGGTCAGTTGACAAGTGAAACTGTGTTATGATAATTATGGATAGTGTTGTCGATGCAATAGACCAGTTATGATCCGATAAATATGAAAATTAAGTCACCTAGGACACGTAGAAGGTACTCCTTTTAGTAGGCTCCATACATCAGCTCCATTTACTTGCTACAAACATATTGCATAATGTTCCCTCATGTTCCCTAAATCATTAACTTAACTCTGTTACCTAGGTTGGGTGGGTTCTGAGTATTGGTGATGCATCGGTGGATCGTGATATTTTACTTATGGTAATTATGAGGGCTGAGAGGGGTAACTCTGTTACCTAGGTTGGGTGGGTTCTGAGAATTGGTGATGCATCGGTGGATCGTGATATTTTACTTATAGTAATTATGAGGGCTGAGAGGGGTAACTCTGTTACCTGGGTTGGGTGGGTTCCGAGTAGTGGTGATGCATCGGTGGATCGCGATATTTTACTTACTGATGCAAGTATCAATCAAAGTCGCACACTAAGTAATAAATATGGATTCATACCTTAAATGTTTACTTTAATTAAGTTTAATGGCTGTTACACCAAACACTCATTAGTAATGAAAAAGTAAATATTTTCATCCATTGCACCATACTTCACACTGCCAACTCTAAATTGTCAGTGTGCCAGGTATTTGACATGAAAAACATGAAAAACATGGCTTACGCACCACAGATAAGAGCACATGCAAGTATCATGATACGTATCGGATCGTGAACAAGGTATCATGTTACGTATCGGATTGCACAGTTGGCGTATCGTCCCAGCCCTAGTTCTGAGTAGGACCAGGGTACCCACAGAACTCTCCAGACCCGTGGTTAGTCACATGATATATATGTTGTATTATGTTATGTGAAAATAAATAAGACTAATGTCGATGGTTGCACTACAGCATGAAGTCGCTAAAGAAGTTTGCATGATATCTTTCTTGCTGACTTTTAAGGACTACTTCAGTGTAGGCATGATTAGAATGTTTTATCTATGTATCAAAATAGTTCCCCAGTGCTCTGGTAACAATTCCCAAATCACATTTTGTACCCAAGATAATTTGTTGGCATACTCGTCATTTCTTCAATCACACATTATAACTCATATGGAGATATTTATACTCTTGGCATTTACTGAATTTGTACCCCTGAGCCAGTCATATGTGTGAAAATGTGCCAGTGTAACTTGTACCTACCTAAGGCCCACCTGAATATAATGGGTACCCAATAGTACTTCAAAGAATTTTTATGCTATGATCTGAAGATGGAATATCTGAAACTATACCCATGATAATAAACAGAAGTGATCATAAGGTTTTCCTGTGTTTTGGCTTTTTCAAATGCGAAAACAATTTATTGACATAAAATAACAACATTTTCTTTGCTTTGGAGGAAAACAAATCAAAACAGCATGTCTGCCTGTATAATGTGCAATCCCGCTTCACAGCTGTATTTTGTTTAAAAACATGCACATTATTTATACACAAGAAAAGCGTAATTACAGTCCCAGTATTTATATGTGATCTGGATGTGGTCAGTGTACTTCGAATACAGAGTGTATGCTTCTACGTGATATCAGGATGTCAAAGTTCATTAAGTCGTAAACAGAATTGTTTTAGTGTTTTTGTTCATCTGGTGGACAGACATTGTTATATTATTATTAAAGAAGATTAATGAGGCAAGTAATTTCTTTAACAGTATGCTTAGTTAATTGTGAACAGTTTGAACCTGCAAATACCAGGGTTAGAAAAAAACAGTTTTTGTCCACTAGTCCTTATAATGATAACATATAGCAAAACCTTTAACATTTGTTTAAGATTGACCAATTTATTCTAGTCCTTAGGATACATTTACTATTGGACAGTTTGGTAAGGACTATAGGACTAGTGCCAATTTCTAACGCTGAAATACTATTACAGCATTTGACCAATCTCATTAAAATGAGATCTAAGTTCTTGCTGCTGCTAAACAAAGATCTGAGGACATCCCATTACAGTTCACGTCAGAACAACCTTTCGCGAACTTTGACCCACCTTCAAATGAATACCAAGTCAATATCAGCCAATATCAACTTTACGGCACTCATTTCAACCTGGCGACTTCCTTTTCAGACAATGCAGACTACACTAAAAAAATATGTTGACACAGTTCTCGAATAAAATTTGGAAAACGGAACAAACGAACATTCCGGAATGTCTAATATATGGTTGCGGTTGTTTGGCAGTGCTCCCCACGTACTGTGGAACGCCTCCTTCGTTCAAATGTGTATCCCCGGAAGTGAGAGATAGCGGTAATTTTGACAGAATCAGTCGTACGGGCTGTACCTGTCTTTTGGAATACCCTGTATTAACGTTTTTGAGGTTGCATGATTAGAAAACACATTCCGACTGTCACTTTCATGATATCGTTAGCGACGCTTTGATTGGTCGGATGAAAGGTCGTTCTGACGTTACCCATAATGGGATGTCTCAGATCTTTGTTTAGCGGTAGCGAGAACTGGGATCTGATTTTAATGAGATTGAGCATTTGGCAAACTAAATGGAATTCTTAATGCTGTTGTACAATGGGTACGCGGGTCGGGCAATAGAGCATCAGGTACCTGGGTAGGTAATTTGTGTTGTAGTAATATATGTTAGGAATACATATTATATGTATTCTGTTTGCCAAGGACTTGCATATTAAAACTTTTATTCCAAATATTTGATATTTGCTTTAGGACATACTCGTCTAATCCGAATCTGATCCGATATGTATCTTCTGCATGGCAAAAACGACCTAATCTGTTCCGACAGCGTCCTGAAGGCGGACATTGATCAGACAGTGACCGTCAAAGATGGTTGGCATTCGGCATGATCTGGACTCAATCGACATGAAACAGCAATGAACAATCCAGACAACACAGGACATTGTTACGAATTTGATTTGATACAGCAGGATCTGTCACGACATAGTCACGATTGTAATCTGACTGGACAAAATGGGCTGAGTTTCCCGAATGTTACGGGGCGCACCATACTGTCGGGAGTGCATGGTCCGCATCTCTGGACCTTTCCCGACTCGTAGGATTCTGTTGGAACGTATATGACTGCGTTCAGACAATGATAGTAATCCGACTTTTTCTCTTTTCGTGTTGTAGCACTGTCTGATCTCAAACGGGAGCCATAATCGGCATTGTGTGAACCTGGCCTAAGCTGACACACCGTGATACAATCTGTTCAAAGCATGATTAGACCCAGCTCACTCACTTATACTACCTACACAGACTATACGCTCAGGGTACAGTTACGTCAACTCCCTGTGAAGATCCAGGGCCCCGTTCCACAAAGCCATCTTAGAGCTAAGGTGATCATAACTCCCATACTTTGGCAGTGTCTTACGATTGTTGTAGTGCTAAGATCACTTTGTGGAACGGTACCCCGGTAAGAATTGTTCTGCAACTTTTGCTTGTCGTAAGAGGCAATTGACATGTCTGGGTGGCATTGACCAATAGCGGTGGGGCATTTGTGCCCCATGGGAGGTGGTCGAGGGGAGCCCCCAAAACCCACATGTTTTAAATATTTGAATATGTTTGAAACAGTGTAAGAAATTGGCACTGGTCCTATAGTCCTTACCAAACTGCCCAATAGTTAAGGTATCATAAGGACTAGCAGAAATTTGCCCTTTTTAAGGGCTTTATGTCATATGTTATCATTATACATGTTATAAGGACAAGTGGACTAAAACTGTTTCTATTGCTGTGACAAGCCTATTTGTTGATTGAGTTTGACTTTAGTGAACACTGTGAATGTTTCAGATTGGAGAAAAGTTAGACAATTGCATAGGGATAATAATGGAACATAAATGTTGAATTCTCTCTTCAATCGGCAGACCATTCAGAAATTGTTTCTTTGAATCCTAATACATGTAGTAATTCTAGCTGCAATGGGTATCCTGTGAAGCAGATTGATGATCATGCTGATGACAAAATGAGTACTGTTCATTGAAACCGGCACTGTGATTCCGTACAGTGATAGTGTCAACAGTCTTTGAAATAAATGGGGGTCCTAGGGGGTCTGCTCCCACATGGTATTTGAAGCCATGAATATTGACAGTTAGGCAACGACAAGAACCCCTTGACTCACATGCAGTGTCCTAAAGAGACATCGGCCTGAAGGCCCAAC